CACCAATTATTCTGCTACTAAACCAGAAACACAGCAAATTGTCCCTAAGCAGCCTACTGTCACCTCCCCTGCCCCCTGAGAAAACCAAAACCTTAATCCGGGGGACTCTGAGGGCAGAGTGAGGTAGGCAGCCTGTGGTTCTGGTGCTGTGACCTGCTGAAGGGGAGAAGGGATGGGACATAAATGTGCTGGGCCAAGAACAAGCTGCTTCTGCAATGAGTGACAAAGCGCGTTCTCCGATGGGATGAATAAATCAGAGGTGCTGCAGCTCTTGCCCAGTTCTCAAGTTTTCACAGCGAGCAGAGCTGATGAGGGAGCTCCTGAGGAACAGCCGGGAGCTGTGGAAGCCACCGGAGATGTCGGGTCAACACCACCTTCTGGTGAGGCAGCACAGGGCACCCAGGCCTGAGTCGAAGCTCCGAGACAACTGAAGCAGCAAGGTAAAGCCTTAGGGACTTTGTGACCGAATTTGGAAAGGAAAGGCATAAAATGCCAATGACAGGTACATGAAAGTACATGGGCTTGAGAGAGAGCGGTGAGAGCATATGGATGAGAAAGGCCTGTGGAGGTCTGGGTGGTTCGGATGAATATTAACACGTCTCTCAGGAGGAGAAAGTGTAGCGCTACTGCCCCTAAAGCGTTTGTAACGTATGCATAAAACATACATCCGCTGTGTTAGACTGAGGCTAGAGGAAAGATGTTGTAGCCACCTCTGCTGCAGGGCAGGGCTCCGAAGGCATATTTAAACAGGACTCTCAGGGAGACGAGTACAGCTTGTGCAAGAGAGAAGGATGCACTGGTACATAAATATGAGATAATCCCAAAGAAGAGGTGGGGCTAGTGTCTTTTGAGAACTTGCCACTGGTTAGTGGGAATACCTTTAGGGAGAAGAGGCTGAAGTGGAAATCAGTCACACACCTTGTAGGATGGACGAAAAGGGACAGAAGGTCTGGAGCAAGAGTGAAAAAAAAAAGGGTATTTGGGATTTCCATAAAATTTAGGCCTGGGCAGGACTAGGCAGCAGAAGCTCTTAGTATCAGAACCTCAGCTCTGGTGGCCCTGATTTCTCGCAAAATCACGTTTTGGCAACTCACCTTCCTTTTTTTTAGACCTTGTCTCTCAGAGATACCAATTCTGAACGGGCTTAGGGGTGGCTCTTTAACCCAGCTGAAGGATTACCGTGCCGAAAGCCTGTGTTTCTAACTGAAGACTTGAGTCTCGGTTCCCGTGGCCTCCATTTTCAAAGACTCAGTCTAACGCATCCTAAATTAACTCACCAGGCAACAGAGTATGAAATCGGACATGACCGATCGATCCTCGGGCATTGATTCAAAGCGAAACTAATGGAATGTAAAGAAAATGTAAGAATCTATCGTACTGTAAAGGGTGCCTATTTAGCCATTTTACAAAATAAAATTTCATTTGGGAGCTGGGTGGAGGCGTAATGTTTGAAGAACCGACTAAAACAAGGCATAGGGACGTTGCAAACTATGGCCGTACAGATCGAGCCTTGAGGGAATGGCTTTGGTAGATGCCACTGACTAAAATAATTGCATGATAATTTTGGCTAGAGGCCCCATCCTATCATCTGATGATTTTTAAACCGTGCACGGGTAGTTTAGACTGAGTGATCTTGGCATCCAGCTACAAAGAACCGAGAAGTCTGCTCAGCGTACCACGTCTATGCTTTGGCTCTTGGGGGAAAAAAAAAAAAAAGATGTCCTAGCACTGTCGAAGGAAGGTCTCTGAGCTATAGCAATCAGCAGCGCTGCGTGCTCCCTCTGAAATGCTCTAAGACAGACTAATCCAGGGCTTTCTCCTAAGGTAAGCGGCAGAAAAATAATTCTTCCTCGGGCAGTATGGAGCAGGCAGGTCTCTGTCAGGCTCGAAGCAATGTGAATTAAACCCAGGAGTATTTGCATCTTAGCATTTAACTTTTTCTGATAAGAAATTTAAGATTTCACTCTGCTTTTTCAAATCACGGCTGATGAAAACCTGGCATAAATTTAATATAGAAGTGATTTGAACACTGGCAAATGATCAAATGCACTTTAAAATAAAGAAGTAACAAAAACAAGAAATAAAGAAACTTCCTCCCAGAGAAATGGTGGATTTCCACCTGGTTCTAGCTGATTACATGCATGAATTTTTATTCTTTGAAATAAGCATATAAAACTATTTGGACAGACACAAAGGTAGTCAGATGGTATAATGAGAAATGTCTTGGGTAGGTACTATCTATACTAATAATGGTATATTTCTAGTCTACTAAGCGAGTACACTGGAATACTAGAATTTCTAGTCTACTAGTAGACTGGAAATAATATCATTGATATTTGGGATTACTCTTTTACGGTAAACTGGATTTACTCTGTTACACAGAACTCAAATAAGACCAGGGAAGGGAAAGATGGAAAAATTGGAAGCACATTGCTATGACAAGGTTGTAAAGCAGTTTGGCTGATTTCTTAGAAACGCTGGCTTTCGTGGCTCTAGACTAACTTCTTTATACACAATGTTCACCATGTCAGTATTCATGCTGTGGTTCTACCAGTGCAGATTTGAGGGCAAGCGTCTTGTTATAATAAGCTCACTTAGTGAATTAGACCACTCCTACAATTACTCTCCCCTGTCGGCTCTTATAATGGAAAGATGAGGACAGAGTTGTTTAAATACTGGTAGAAACAGCTTAAGAAAGAAACTCATCTGTAGAGCTAGGGTGATATGTTCTTTATACTCCTCTTCTTGTCATCTCTTACCCTGAATGGTTACATTCACTTTTTGTTCCAAAACGGGCAACGATAATTCTTACCGCTAGAGGAATGCTAGCATTTCATCTTTGGGATTAAAACACGTCTCCTTTCCCTTTTGTTCCTGCATTTACATTTTAGCATCTCGCTTTTTCTTTTTCCCCTGGAGTCTATCAATTTCAGCGAGGGATCAGCCATTCACAAGGCAGCAAGTGTACCCGAAGCTCCTTTGCTTAACTGTTGCGTTGCTGTCATTCAGTCACCTTTCGGGGAAGCGGCACAGAGCAATCAGCAAGCGTCACCCGCTTGTACTTGGCCTCTTGAGTACTCCGGGTGTGGGAGTTTGCTCCACGTAAACCTCTACTTCTCACTTTACTGAAGGTGAACTATTCTGTATCAGCACTTCCAAGCTTGGAAAAACAGGTTCAACATTGCTAGCTTGAGATGTACCATTTTCCAGTAAACTTTTCAACATATCAACATCTTTGCACCCACCCAACCTATGACATTGCAGCAATTTGGTGTCTGCTCTGAATAAAATCCATACAAAGTCAGAAGAAAGATCTGATAATGTTCTTTAAAGATGAAGAAAATGGACTACAATAATTCTTGCTGCTTTTTCATGTATCTTATTTCAATGACATACATGGGAGGGAAGGAGTGGGGAAAGAAGATGTTCCAGGTGCATCACAGCACCTAAGAAGTCGCTTGACTAGCTATGTTTCCTCAACCCTGTGTCAAAAGGGAAGCTCACTTTGAAAATTCAAATTTGCAGAGAAAAACCAAATCCCAGAAATGTAATAATAAAGTCTGTAGGATGCCTATGCAGAGAATGACTGCACTGTTGGTTACGACTGAAAATCTTTACTTGCAGCGTGGATAAATACCGCCTCCAAGCAGAATCGTGCTACATGGGATCATGTCCTAAACCATGACCAAGCTATATTGATAATGGCGTTATCGCCCAGCCGTGCTATCAATTAAAATTGTGTAAGATTTTGCGTACTGCAACCAGCCACTCTCAAAAAAAGCTTAGAAATTGCACTTTACTAAAGGTTGTGGTTTAGTGGAATTTGGGAAGTTTTGAAAGTACAGTAGCATAAAAAAATTCAGGTGCAAACCCTAAGGTAGTTATGATCCCAGTTGCTTTCAGTATTTTATTGCCACATTAGCAGAAAAAAATTCCAGGGACACAACACCGAATGTGCGGTGCATTCACAAATAAACAGACGAATATCTTACATTTCAATTCCCCACATTACCTGAAGCTCCTGAACAGTTTCCAGAGAAGCGGCTTGGAGATCAAGCGTCTGGCAGCAGAACATAGATCAATTTGCTGGTGAATCAAAGAGATTCTGGGAAAGAGGTAGTTAAAAAGATCATCTCTCACTCACAGAGAAAAACCTCCACATCACTCCATTATGTAATCCCTGTTTTATTTATCTTATATGTTGAAACTTATAATTAAGACAAAGTCTTTGTGATTCAATAAGACTTTAAATGCATAAAATCCAAGATATTAATCCCAGAAGCACTCTTAGTTTAACATTATCCTAGAACTGAGACTATTTACACATGTACAGCTATGTGTAAATTAGCTATGTATTTGTAGTTTTAGGAATCCAAGTGAGAAACTTGTGGATTGTTACCCTGGTAGATGGGAAAATATTGGATGGATGGCACTAATAATGCTACTACCTTGGGGTACAAAATGAAACATTTTTCTGTTGCAGTTACAGGATACTTCTCAAAACTTTATCAAACAAATGGATGCCCTGAGCATTACATATTATGGCAAAACTACAGCAAAGCCACAGACAGGGGAATGGAGTAGGTGTAGGATTAAACTACAGTTAGCAAAGGATTTGCTAAGTGGGAAAAAACTGTCTTCTTTCCTAGTGGGAAGAAAATAGTGTAAAACTGTAGGCAGTTAAGAAGTACTGTGGCTTACAGCTGAAATCAAGCTCTCTTAAGCTTAAAATAATCTTACATTTGCATCTTTCACCAGTAATCATGAAGTCTGCATTCATTGAAAGACCCAGTAAGCAGAAAATAATGATGAACTTCTAAGAGCTCTCCTGCTATCAGAAGAATATATATGAAAGATCATTATTAAAAAAAAAAAAAAAAAAAAAAAAACAAAAAAAAAACCCCACCCAAACAAAACTAAAAAGGGCCATTTCCAAAAGAAATCCAGTATTGTTGCTAAAATACCAACATTTTTTGTATTTCAGATATGAACTTCTGACCATGGGGGACTGGAACCTGCTGGGCAGCATCCTTGAAGAAGTGCACATCCACTCCACCATAGTTGGCAAAATCTGGCTCACGATCCTGTTCATATTCCGGATGCTGGTGCTGGGAGTGGCTGCCGAAGATGTCTGGGATGATGAGCAGTCCGAGTTCATCTGCAACACGGAGCAACCTGGCTGCAGCAATATCTGTTATGACAAAGCCTTCCCCATCTCTTTGATCAGATACTGGGTACTGCAGATCATATTTGTCTCTTCTCCGTCGCTAGTTTACATGGGCCATGCGCTCTACAGATTAAGGGCTCTCGAGAAGGAGCGACAGAAGAGGAAAGCCCACCTGCGGGCTCAGCTAGAAGACCTGGAGTCCATGCCTGAGGAGCACAGGAGAGTGGAGAGGGAACTGCGTAAGCTGGAGGAACAGAAGAAAGTGAATAAGGCACCCCTGAGAGGGTCCCTGCTGCGCACCTATGTCCTACATATCCTGACCCGGTCGGTGGTCGAAGTGGGCTTTATGATAGGTCAGTATCTTTTATACGGGTTTCACATGTCCCCCCTTTACCAATGCACTCGGCCCCCTTGCCCTAACACGGTGGATTGTTTTGTGTCCCGACCCACAGAGAAGACCATTTTTATGGTTTTCATGAACAGCATCGCCGCGGTCTCCCTCTTCCTCAACATCCTAGAAATCGCCCACCTGGGCCTCAAGAAGATCCAGAAGAGCCTCTCCGGGCGGCCGCGGC